TTGAGCCTGTAGCGCAGCTCCATGATTTCGCGGCGTAGCAATGAGTCATCACTGGAATCTGCCTCGCCTCCGCCGTCGCGTGCATTGGGGATGACATCTTTCTCGGAAAACTCTCTTGATGGCGACGAAATGTCAGCACCAAGATCGATCAGGTCGCATTCGACAAAAGAAGATGATGTTACTGTCGAAGAAGGCGATAGAGGATGACGAGAAGAATTGGAGGCGGGATAATGATTGAAACGAGTGGCAACAAGGCCTTTGGGTAGAGCTTGTCTGGGTCCGCTGCTCTGAGCCCCGTTCTCCGGAGCAGGTATCTCGACCTTGGTGAAGCCCATTTTGTCAGTGTCAGAAGTCGCGTGTGGGCTGACTGGGTCTATTGTGGCAGTTGCGTGATTCCCCGGGGCTTGACTGTAGGTAAGTCTCGAGTCGTCGAGGATCATGGCACCAGCATCAACGTCGAGGGGTCTCTTGTCCGGAATTGATGGGCTGTGATCCTCGCGGTGCTGCGGAAGAGCCGGGTCTACCTGTCTGAGATCTTCCATCATGCCGAAAAGCAGTCCTGGAAAATGGCAACGATGAACAAGATGTTTGGATGAAAAGAGAGGTCCGAGTCTACCTGTGCATCAGAAGAAAGAATGACTTGGAGGGATGGGATGTTGCTGGAGGAGAGGCCTGAGGGAAGTTGCACGGACAAACCAAGGAAGATTCCAGTGTCTTGAGGAACCTACCTTATCCAAGGTCGGGTACTCAGGCCAGGTACCTTGCATATCTCGAAATGCCGCCTGTGGTGCTCAGCCCAAGACAAAAGTTCAAGGTCATACATCGAACCTTATTGTGTGATGAATCCTGGGGCTGGGAGGGCTGCCCAGAATAGGAAACCTGAAAGAACACCCTCAAGTCTCTCGAACATCTTTGGCGCTTGATTTGCAGTCGGCCTCTCATGGGCTTGTCTTGGTATCAGTAGGAAGCAAGGCAGCTTTCGGTGAAGGAGGACTGTTGCTGCATTGGAAACTGCCTGCTCAGTGACCCCGCCAAGTGGGGTCGGATAACGGCGGGTGGGGCACTGCTAAAATACGTACCTTTAAGGCTGACACCCTAGTTGTGCTCAGAAGTACCGATCCACTCCATCAAAGTCACTTTCTTTAACAGGCATCCTGACCTTCGCCAGAAACAGCTCAACACGTTGGAGTGATGCTGGGAGGCAGTGAGGGTTGAACACTTTAGAACAACAGTGGCATAGTACGGACCGAAAGGTGCCTCATGAAGGTGCCTGAGCTACATGGCATGCCGGACGAGTATCTCGGCGCTTAGGCCTACGACATGTCGATACATCCAGACGTGTCTGACAATGGAAGTCAGAAGCCGCATGAGCTTGACGCATAAGGCAGTGTTTCTCCAGAGGGCTGATTACTCGATTCAATGATTGATAGCACTCGTTCATGTGCAGTCTTATTCGTGCCTCGCTTTTTTGTCTACCTTAGTCTGGTAAAGATACCTCTGAAGTTTACCTACTCGTACCTGCCTCAGAAAGCTTGATCGGCCAGGGAAGGAGCTACAAGCAAATCGGAGCTTCCTTCCTTACCCGTTTGCGCAACGCCCCCTCAAGGACGTGAAGACCAAGAAGGTTCAGCCAGAGCCTCTTGCTGCCCTGCACCCTTCAAAATATCCACCCAAGCTTCATCAAGGCAGATTTTCTTTCGCCTGCTGACCTCTACGTACCTTGCCCAAGCACATGCTTCCATCAAGCTTGATGAGGCCCGGCTTCTGACATCGCCCTCCTTCCTACCACCTCAAGTTTCCCTCCTTACCTTTTTGCACCTCTTTCTACTGCGACCAGGCCATCCTGAATAATTGAAATCTTCTTCACCCTCTTCTCGGGTCCGTCAAGCCTACTCGGATACAGCTTCATTTGGAAACACACAGGGCTTCCACTACACCGACCCCAAGACTTTGATTTGTTCTGGTGGATGACAGCCGAACATCGACTTGCATCTGCCTTCTACATCCATACACACTTGTTATCGCTTCTCAGCTTTGATACCTTCTGCAACACCCGGCAGCAACACAACGTCTAGTCATGGACGCCTTTGACTTTGGGCAGCTGTCCGTCAGCGGGCGCAAGATCATTGTCGGCATCGACTTTGGTACCACTTATTCAGGAGTAGCGTGGGCTGAAACCCAACGTCCCGATCGACGAACTGCCATCACTACCTGGCCGATCAGCAAGACCATCCGCGAGGGCGAATCTTCGGACAAAGTCCCTACCAAGCTGCGATATGCCGGCGACGAGGTTCAATGGGGCTTTTCAATCCCCGTTACTGCACCACAAGATGAAGTTGTCGAGTGGTTCAAGCTGTGAGTGCCTTCAATCCCAATCAAACTCGGTCTTGGCATAATGTGTCCGGATGTTATAAGACACAACAGAGCTAATGTATTCCAGTGACCTCGATCCTTCTCTCCAAAGCATGGGTCAAGCTGTCTCCTCAGAGGCTCGAGGTGGCCGCAATGTCGACAAGCTTGTGACGGACTACATTTCTGCCCTGGGCAATCATCTCGTCTACACTTTGAAGGAGAAGCTCGGAGAACAGGTTGTCAACACCACACCGTTGGAATTTGTTGTCACGGTGCCCGCTATCTGGTCAGATCTCGCCAAGGATAAGACCAAGCAAGCCTGCCAAAGGGCTGCTGGCCTCAACACTGTTACCAACACTATTGCTCCCATCCATCTTGTCTCTGAGCCCGAGGCTGCTGCCATCTATGCCTTACATGGCCTGGACCCACATGGGCTCAAGGTGGATGACACTGTGGTGGTTGTAGATGCTGGAGGAGGAACTGTGGACTTGATCTCGTACACAATTACCAGTCTAAAGCCTATTCTGGAGGTCCAAGAGGCTGCTCCAGGATCTGGTGCTCTGTGCGGCTCGACGTTCCTCAACATGCGCTTTGCCAAATTTCTGAAGGCTAAGCTGGGCAAAGAAGACGGATTTGACGACGAGATCATGGCCGAGGCCATGGAACAGTTCGAAAAGAAGGCAAGCTTATTTATAACTTTGATCACTCTTTGACCAGGTATCTTGACTAGAGCTCTTTGACTAACGGTGCACAGGTCAAGCGACAGTTCACGCTCGGCGCTGCTCCAGACGACACCTACACCATTCCAGTCGGTGGTCTGGCGAACAACAAAGAGCTGGGAATCAACCGTGGTCGTTTCGCCTTGAAGGCATCAGATCTCCAAACCATCTTCGAGCCCGTTGTTCTCGAGTGCATCAAGCTTGTCAAAGACCAGATCACAGCAAGCAATGTGCCGATTCGTGCTATTCTCCTTGTCGGTGGTTTTGGCGCATCCAACTATCTCAAGGAGCGTTTGCGCAACGCTATCGATAAGAGCATTCAGATCATGCAGCCACCCAATGCTTGGCAGGCAGTTGTTCAAGGCGCTGTCATGAAAGGTCTAGCTCAAGTATCTCCTGACAAGCTTACGCAGGTCAAGGTGCAGAACCGCAAGGCCAGGAAGCACTATGGCACCGAGTGGCGAAGCAAGTACGATGCCAAGCTTCACAAGCATCTCGAACAGAAGCGACACTGGTGCGGCTTGGATGGTTGCTACAAAGTGTACACCATGGAGTGGTTCATTCAACGCGGCGATAACGTCTCCGAAAACGAACCCTTCTACACATCGTTCGTGTGGACCGGTCTGGTCAGTCAGGGCCGCATCAAGAAGATCAAGATGGATATCTACGCAGATCGCAACCAGAGAATTGCGCCTGTTGCTCGGGATGAGAATGTTGCAATGCTCGTTCATGTCGAGGCTGATGTCGGACACATCCCCGAGCACATGCTCTCCCGCCGCCAGGGACTTGATGGCCAATGCTACTACGAGCTGAATTGTAAGATCGAAGCCGTCTATCTTTCGGCCTCAACCACGTACACATTGCTCTACAACAGTGAGTTTGCCTTTCACTGGGCATCTTGACACGAAAGTTAACCCCTTCTAGATCAACGGTACAACACGGTGACGGCAGAGTATGTTTGATCTCGTTATGCTTTGGCTGCAGACACATGTAGTTGGGAAAGCACCTTCCATCTGGATACGCGACCATTTTGGGGCAGGAGATTGATTAGCACATATGAAGAGGTAACAGTGTACACAACGCAAACATCGTGTGGCGTTTCCACTCCAGGAGCTCTGCTTCTCTGGATGGAACAATGAAGTTTATTGAATTCCAAGCCATATCGAGTATTTCATGCGCCCATATGACATTGATACTTGGATGAACACTTTCTTGATTGGCCAATACCATGATCAAATTACTTTGCTTGTTCCTAAGACGCTGATCGTTTTAACTCGGTCGTCAGAGCCTGGAATCCGTACAAGGGATTCGTGGTTGCTATTGGCTATTTGGCGTTGTGGGGAATTAATCACACGTCTGGCACTGTAGACGGAATGACAATGGGCGGCGGAAGCGAAGATGAGGTGAAGAAGACAACATTGAAACATCGGGACGAAAGAGACAGCTGAGAGAACTTAGTTTCAAACTACCCGTCTGGGAACTTGGGGACACTGGATCTTGACTTGGTTCAGTCGGCTCACCTTGAATGTTCCCCTTCGGCGAGACGCATCCCCAGGTAGTTCCAAAGTTTTTAACACCAACGAATGACCTATGGAGAGTTACTTGGACTATTGCAAACATGATCGCAGGGAGCTCTAGCTAACGCTGGCTGCACCCTAAAAGGGAATGGAACCATTTTAGCCGAATGCCGATGTGGCCGGGAGGCGTTATCAGTGGTCAAGATAGAGGAATCAGACCCCTGCACAAAATCTGACCGAGGCCAAATTCCATAACAATCAAGACCTCAACCCGGGATGCGCGACTTTGACTCCTTTCCTCATCACATCAACAACTTCAAGGTCGCCGGGAAAGAACCACACGACAACACAACTCTAACGATCAACCACATCACTGCGCTGTTCGTAACCCCAGGTAACCCCTACAATCACGATGCAAACCAGATCTGACCCTGAACAGGTTGAAGGTAGAGGCGACGACGCCGCCCACCGCAAAGATGGCGACGAGCACACCGTCGCGGGCTGGCTCACCGTGGCCGGCTCGTTTCTCGTCTACTTCGTGTCCTATGGCTACATGAATAGCTTTGGGTACTTCCAGGACTACTACCTCGGCCATAGTCTGGCTGGGTACCCGAGCTCGGTCATCGCGATCATCGGGTCGCTCCAGCTTGGTCTTATGAACCTCATCCAGCCTGTCGCCGGTGGTCTCGCCGATTCGTACAGCCCGAGCATCCTCTACGCTGTCGCGGCTGTCGGGGCGATTGTCTCCAGCGTCGGCGTCTCATTCGCCCAGCCAGGCCACATTTGGCAGTTCATCCTCACTCAGGTATGTGCCGTCACTATTGCCCGACGTGCCGAGATCGATCTAACGTTAACAACAGGGCGTCATCTTTGGATCAACCGCCGTGTTTGGTACAGCGGTCTCCTTGCCTCTCGCTAGTCAGCACTTTACGAGAAGACGCGCATTAGCCATTGGTATTGTCGCTAGCGGGAGCAGCGCGGGAGGAGTCTGCCTACCCATCATGTTCTCTCATCTTGTGCCACGTATCGGCTTCGGCTGGGCTTTGCGAATTGCTGCGCTGATTGCTCTAGGATGCTACGGGATCGCTATTCTCATCTCGCGGCCCAAGCTGCCACACAAGCCTGTGAAATCCATCTGGTCTATTGTGGACTTCAATGGCTTCCGCGACCCCCGATACTCTACACTGGCGCTTGCTAATGTGGTCGGTAACTTTGGGCTTTACGTACCGTTCTACTACTTAGGTACGTGTTCATTTAAGCTTGGACAGTCTGACTCAATATCGCTTTGCGTTATTTGGTAAGCTTAAGGCAGACATCAACTGTACCGTTCCAAGGTTGCAGGTTGTCGATCCAGAACTCGATGTCCCTACTCAATGCCTCTTGACCGCGGGCTGACGGATGATGCCCTCATTGAATACAGCTAACCTCTTCACCAGAGCCGTACATCGCGGTTCACCACCCGGGAGCCGCGGTGAGGAACTACCTTCTCCCGCTTATCAACGGATCAAGCTTCTTCGGCCGAGTGATGTCAGTTATTGAGTGGTCCAATATGCCATCATGAGTTCCACTGACGAATCCTAGCGGTGGATACGTAGCCGATCATACTGGTGGATTGAACCTCCTCTATCCACTGACGGCAATTTCGGGCATACTCTGCCTTACCTTATGGCTTCTATCCACCAGCGTCAGCATGATTGTAGCTTTTGCCTGTTTATACGGTATTTTCTTCTCATTACTTTATGCATGCATCAAGCTTGCGGGGTTCTAACTCGGCTAATCCAAATGTAGGCTTCTGCTCGGGAATATTTATCAGTGTCACACCGTCCGTGACCGTCAGACTCTCTCCAACTGATAAAGTCGGTGCCCGGCTGGGCGCATTCTCCATCTGGAGCACAATCGGAGTCTTCACCGGCACGCCCATAGGCGGCGCTTTCGTCCGACGAGGCACGCCGGAAGAATATCAGCACCTGATCATCTTCACCGGCATGTGCCTCACTGCCTCCGCTGTCCTGCAGTTTGCGACGCGCATTCTCTGTGATAGAGATCTACGCAAGAAGTGGTAAAACTCTTCTGCCATCGGGCAACAAGGCCAAACACCACGAGGTTGGCTTGTCTTGCGGTCCGGCAGCGAGCCGGCAAGCGAAGTTGGGGGCTGTTCTTGTTGGAAAAGATCAGGGCAAGGGAGGGTATGGGGAACGGTGGAGTGCAAAAGGACATGCGGATAGCCGAGGAGGATCTGCGCCAGGCAGGAAGTTGGCGATGGACAGGCGGTCTATGATGTTGGGAGAAATTGGCATGGGGTTGAAATGTTGAGTTAGTTTATAGTCATGTCTGAACCTTGGCTTCTACGGATGCTTGCTTGGGGTGGAGCGCTGAGGTGTGGCATCTGCGTCGATCGGCGGGACTTCACGGAATCATCCGACTTGGATAGAAATCCAAGCCATCCGAACCATCTATGTAGTCTGCATAAGGTCTTCAGCCACATAAAAAAACACGGATAGCATATGCGGTTCATAGCTTTCAGTCCATAGTCAACTGAATTGTGGTAGACATAATCCCGGTCGATATTACTCCAAATATGGAGGCCCATGCTTGAGTAGTTGTGTGGATGCACTTCCACTACTTCTTGGCAGCCAAGAAATAGTCCAGCCTCCTCAACTACATATCAACAAATTACGTGGATAGTCCCATATCATCAATGGGAAGAAACTCTCTATGAAGTGCTATTTAGATGCAGATGAATGGGAAGCTTTGACTCATTGGCATCAAATGGCCGCATCGCGATATTTGCCGGAGAGCGTCCGAGATGAGTTGGCTCTCTGTCAGTAGGGGCACAAGGTAAGGGAGGCAACCGTACTCCTTACTAAAACAAATAATATGAGACACAAGCCAATTATCTACGTCATACAAACAAGAAGCAGAAATAATTTTGGCACCTTTTTGTTCTTCTATTAGATGTGCTGATCTACATTTGTTAAGTGGAATAATTTCTCGCGGCACTCTGGAGCAATGCTCGGTGGTTTGGACAGCTTACCGTCCACAATCCAGATGTCCAGTCTCTATGGGACCTAATGCTTATATGATGAGTGAAGTCTTTGTTCCATGAGTTTCATATTTGCAAACTGCGACTAGCCAAAGCCAACGCGCGTTGCCTGGCTCCAGCAACAGCACAACTGTGAAGGTGCCTCAGAATCGGCGTTTGAGTCTCGGAAGACGGCCATCGTATTCCCCGGATAGCCGAGACTCATTTGTCTGCCGCAGTCGAATGCTTTGTGGCTGCCACATGAGTTGTGGATAGAAACCATAAACTTTCCTTTTCAACGTGGGAACCCTGGTTAACCCGGCGCTTTCCGCACTTGCTGGTTCGCATGAATCCCGCTTACAGTCCCAATTCTTGACGATCGCTCATATTTCTGCCGTGACCTGAGGGACTATTCCACTTAATAGAGAAAGCAGAATGAGGCAATTCGCATAGTGAGGTGGCAATCCGTCTCCATGCTGCCGCCATTCAGGGGAAATCACTGCAGCCTTTGTGATATCTGACATGTTGGATGTAAACCTCTCGAGCGGTCAAAAGCAGTTGTGGGACATGACCTTATTAGCCTCCGGGTTATCTCTCGGGGGATATTTGTTCTGCTCGGCGCTTACGGTTGGAGAATTATCGTTTGTCGCCGGTCCCATCTGCATTCCGATTGCGTTCCACCTTACTCAAGCTCTGCTCAGGCAATCTGCGCGGGCTTAGCCTGCAAACGAGGAAAACATTCAGAGAACAAGTGATACGGTAAACACGACGGGTCGGGTGGTGGCATGCGCTCAGGAAGACTTTGTAAACAAAGGTATCAGTAATGAGCCAAGAAACAATCTGAAAGTTGATTTTTGAGGCGAACCCACCAAGTCATTGAGTAAAAGCAAAGCGGACTTCAAAGAGGGGGGGAATGGAGTCGTGCTTTCGCCCGCTAATGAGTGTGGGCAGAATGAGGTTTATTATCGCGAAATGGAAGCACCTTTTGAAAAGTCAGTTTTATTGCTGCTATGCGTGATAAGAAAACTGCATAGCATCTGGCCACTGCGTCCTTTGGTCCGTGAGACTTTCTGTGCTATGGAGCTGACTTGCAGACTAGCAAGCTGGCGTTGAACTCTGTTAGATGCGCAGCGCACGAGGCACATTTCGCAACGTGTCTGGGTATGATGTAAGAATAATTCCACTTTCACGAGAAAAATGTGACAGAAGCAAACAGGTGAAGAGAGAAGGTTTTCGAGTTGGAAGGCACAAACCTGGGGAAGCTTAGGTTCCGTCGTTGCGCGAACGCCTATAGCCCCCATCTATATCAAGCGAATGAAGGTTTTCGGCAAACCCTCGTTGAGGCTCCTTCCGAACTTCCCACACACCACTCCACAGCTCTAGCAGATATACTATATTCGAGACAAGCTTATTTGAGTAGTCCTTCTAGACGCAATTTCTGTGAGTGCGAGCTCAATATGTCGCCAGTATTTCGTTCCCAGGACAAGAAATGTTCTTCGGGCGTCCAACAATAGCGATCCTTGCCGGCGTTTGCCCCAAGTTTAGGTAGCCGTCCTATGTTTGACTGACTCGGCCGGCGGTCACCCCTGTTCTTGATATGTCACGGTGAACACAAGCTTTGATTGACAGTCTTGGCAGAGCCCTGCTCAGAACGCCTCCATTTGAGATATAAATCGACCAGTTCCCACGGCCTTGGCACTGGTTGAAATATCTCTCGAACTGTCACCAGAAGATCTTCTACTCTGATCATTACCATCCTTTGAGCTTTGGCTCGTCCATTCTTTTTTCGTTCACTCTCTCGTACTTATCGCCCTAGGGCACTCCGACATAACAAACTACTTCACAACCGACATTTCTGCTTTTAAACATGGTTTCTTTCTTCGCTCTCGCTGGCCTGGCTGCCACCGCCCTGGCTGCGCCTGTTAGCCAGTCCGGCTGCACTTTCACCGACGCCAACGCTGCCATGAAGGGCAAGGCTGGCTGCTCGAACATTGTCTTGAAGGATATCGCTGTCCCCGCTGGAGTCACTCTTGACTTGACTGGCCTCAAGTCGGGTGCTACCGTACGTCGATTCTTGAACATTACCTCTTGTGGTCAATAGGCCACTATCATCTCGGCCAGATTTACTAACCAAATCAACAGGTTACCTTCCAAGGCAAGACTACCTTCGGATACAAGGAGTGGGCTGGTCCCCTCATTTCCGTTTCGGGCTCCAATGTCAACGTCGTCGGCGCCTCCGGTCATGTGATTGACTGCGGCGGCCAGCGCTGGTGGGATTGCAAGGGCAGCAACGGTGGCAAGACGAAGCCCAAGTTCTTCGCTGCCCACTCTCTGCAAAACTCCAACATTCGCGGCCTTAACGTGCTCAACACCCCTGTTCAGGCCTTCTCCATCAACACCTGCACCAACCTCGGCATCTACGATGTCAAGATTGACGACTCTGCCGGCGACGGCGGTTCCCAGTGCGGCCACAACACCGACGGCTTCGACGTTGGTTCTTCCAACGGCATCTACATCTCTGGTTGCACTGTCAAGAACCAGGATGACTGCCTTGCTATCAACTCCGGCACCAACATCACTTTCGTCGACGGCACTTGCATTGGCGGTCACGGTCTCTCCATCGGATCCGTTGGTGGACGCTCCAACAACGTCGTCAAGACCGTTCGCATCCTCAACTCCAAGATTATCGACTCGGACAACGGCGTCAGAATCAAGACCGTTGCTGGTGCGACTGGCGCTGTTTCGGACGTTGTCTACTCCGGTATTACCATGACTGGTATCAACAAGTACGGCGTCATCATTCAGCAGGACTACAAGAACGGATCTCCTACCGGCAAGCCCACCAGCGGTGTCCCCATTACCGACCTTACCGTCAGCAAGATTACTGGTAACATCAAGTCTTCCGGTACCGACGTTCAGGTTCTTTGCGGATCCGGCGCTTGCCGCAACTGGAAGTGGGAGGGAGTCAACGTTTCCGGTGGTCAGAAGGCAGCCAAGGCTCTCAACGTCCCGCAGAGTGCGGTCCAGAGCGTCAACACCAAGTTGTAAGCGGCTGTTAGCTCAAACATCGTCGAAATATGGCGAGTTGGGAGACTTGTGTACATGGTAGGCCGGGCTTTTGGTATCGGTCTAGATGTAGCTCAAGAACTTGTTACAGAGTGGTGTCCCAACATTAGCTGGCGACGAATTATGTTCTTTTGTATGCAAATATGTATATCGTATCATCTTGCTGGTCACGATATGAACATATAATTAAACCTTAAGCCATTTCAAATCTTGTGCATCTCAAGTGACTTGAAGTTGTCTGAGCTATGTAATTTCCGCGTTGCGTTGCTTGAAAGCTTCGTGGTATCGTGAAGCTTGCTTTGAGGTTCAAATGCACCTTCCAATAGTGAACGGAATCTCTAGAAGGTGGTCATCCACGAGGGTCATTTTTGAAAAGAAGATGCAACCCAGGACTGCTAGGAGCGGGCCAAGCCTATCAACACCCTGAGGTTATGAGTCTTGGTACCTTTGGGTGACTAGCTACACTATACTTTGGGTCAAGGAGAATCTTGTGAATTCAATCAACTGCCAAGATAAAATGCCGTACATGAGCATATCAGATTTGTGATTTATGACCCTTCAGTAAGCTCCTTTTCTTTCAGCCCACTTCGTCTGCGGCGCGGGCGTCACCTTTCCGAACCCAGTTGCGCTGACCATGCCAACTTCCCACTTGAGGCCCTCAACCTTGGCGCCGCCCTTCTCCATGGCCCAGAGCGTGATGCCGAGATGGTTGGAGCCCTGGTAATTGAGAATGCCCTCAGGAATGGGGAAGCGAGCTTGCGGGCCGACATGGTGGACAAACTTGCCAAATTGGTATCCGTTCACAAAGATCTGAGCGCGGTATGCCGTGGTTGTGGTGTTGGCAAAAGTCAGAGAGAGCGGGATGTCGAAACCAGTGGGGAGGTCGAGGTCAAAAGTGGAAGAGTAGTAGGCAATTCCGGCCTTTTCAATTCCCGCGGAGGGGCCCTTGCTATCTTCCCAAGAGGCCGACGGAGG